AGAGAAATGGTTATTCGCACAAGATCAAGTACTGGCTGTCCCTTATCGAATGTTTGTACCTGCCAGGGACTTTACTTATACACCTATTTACTTTTATTAACAACCACTGATTGTTAAGTAATAATTAAGAAATGATAATAATATAAGTAATTATTACAATGTCAAGTCATACCATCTAGAAAACAAGTCAGTCGTATTATCGTGATTTTTAAAAATATATATTTATATTTTATTGATTTTTTTTTATAGAGAGGAAGGAAAAGAGATAGAGAGGTAGAAACATCGATGAGAGAGAAACATCGACCAGCTGCTTCTTGCACACCCCCTACTGGGGATGTGCCTGCAACCAATGTACATGCCCTTGACCGGAATCGAACCCGGGACCTTTCAGTCCGCAGGCTGACGCTCTACCACTGAGCCAAACCGGTTTTGGCATATCGTGATTTTATAGATACAGAAACTGAGGTGTGAGGAAGGCTGAGTACATTGCCTAGGCCACACTGCTGGTGTACGTGAAAGAACCTCGATTCAGATGAAGGACTCATGGTTCCAAAACCGACTCTGAGCTTGCTGACCCACTTTTCTAAAGTCATTTTCATCAACCCGGGGGGTGCATCCTGCAGTAAAGCATCAGAGCCTTTATCAGCAAATATGTGCTCAGTAGCTAAATGTCGCCTCTGTGTCATCTCAGTGTCTGTTTTTTATGGAAAGTGATGGCAAGATTTCGGTCCTTGTTATGCTCCTTCACATGCTCTGTCTCCTCAGTGTGTGGCCTTATTCTGCTTCTCGTTTCCAAGCTCTATTTGGTATGCAAGTGAGTAGTGTGGAAAAATTGAACACCAAGACAAATAACTGTCTCTTCATCCTCTTCCGAGGGAGCTGGCTTATGGGATGAGCTGAGATCTGTGGTCTCGCCAGAGACTTCAGCTGGTTCTGCGAGGCGGGGTCTTGGAATCAGAGCTGTGGGGCCTGTCAGGGGTGCCTCCGTTTCAGTCCCAAGGGAATCGTTGTCTGAAACCAAGCTTTTCCTCCCCCAGGGAATTTCCCTCTCCTTTTAAGGCATCCACGTGTTAGCATTCCCTGCTGCTCCCCAAGAACAGACCTTATTTTGTTGGTTTTTAAATGGTTTTTCCTGTGTCAGAGATGTGTGTACCTTTTAAAATGTATGTGCTCCCTTTATGTCAGTGTAACATCGTTGGTGTGTTTTATAACCTCTGATATAATGGGTGCAGATTTATTATCAAGGATAAAGAACTTTTGGCATTTTTGTCTCAGAAAAGAGCTAGAAACAATGAACTCTGGAATAACCCACAGTTCCAGTCTCCAAGTCTGTAAAATGGTGATGCTGTATCTCCGGCTCAGAGTAGGGGGGCGTGGTGAAGGGCATAGAACCACCACCATTCGGTGTTCTGGAGTCAGATGGCTGGGCTGTTTCCAACATCTGTCACTTAGAGGTTATGTAACCTTGAACATTACTTATTCTTTCTTCCTTTCTTTCTCCCTTTCTCCTCCTTCCTTCCTCCTTCCTCCTTCCTTCTTCCTCTTTTCTTCTAACTTCTTCCTTCTTCCTTCTCTTCCTTTGGCTGGTAAAGCAAATGAGACATAATTCACTTTTCTGATTTTATAATTTCATCATCTATTGAATGAGAATAACGACTGTATCTGTCTTGGGGGTTGTCAGACTCAAATAAGATAATACATGTAAAGCATAGTGCCTACTACTTCGTAAGTATGTGCTCAGTAAATCTTGATTCTTTGAACATCATACATTAAATATTTTATACACTTCTTTAAAAAGTATTTTTCTTGTTCTGGCTGGTGGCTCTGTTGGTTTGCGCATTGTCCTGTACACCAAAAGGTTGTGGGTCGATTCCTGGTTGGGGCACAGGCCTAGGTTGCATATTTGATTCTTGGTCAGGGCAATGTATGGAAGGCAACAAATTGATGTTTGTCCCTCACATCCATATTCCTCTCTCTCCCCCCTCCCTCTTTCCTTCTCTATCTATCTATCTATCTATCCATCTATCTAACTATCATCTATCTCCCTTCTTCTCTCTCTCAAATCAATAAACATATCCTTGGATGAGGATTAAAAAAATCACTTACCTTTCTTTTCCACTTAAGTGGTGCTTTTGAAACATAGGAGAGTACTGTTTTTGGAGTAGTAGATGAGTGGGTTGGGATGTGATGGCAGAGGGTGAACCTTGAGGATTAATTATGACTTGAGCACAGGGCTACTTTACTGACTTCAGTTTCCATAAAAGTAGGAAGATATGAAGAGTAAGGTTTGGGGAAGAAAACCAAAAGGGATTCCTACAAATGAATAAGATGCTAGGACACAAATACTAAAATCCAGGCACCTACCTAAGCCTACAGCTTAATGTCAGCATGTGAAGTCCTGGAAACAAAGTCAGTGTTATGAAGGTAGCCTTTCCAATTGTGTCTCTCAGTTATGAAGTCTAATTATGGTCTGTTGTGGTCATTTTGGCATAATATCCTGATTACAGTAGGGTAATATCCATCCAGTCTTCTTGAGTTCCCATCCCATGTGTATTCCATATGTTTGTGTACATTTCCTGTCCCACATGGTTACATCTGGCAGACAGCTGTTGTCATATACGTGGTGATGGGTGTCCATCAGTGATATGGATGAGGTTGACGAGCAACTTGGTAATCCCAGATTATAAAAGACATTAGGGAGGCATAAGCAGTCAGAATAACAGGTAGGGCATTTCATATTCAACTGCCTTCTTGCAGAAATGAAGTTAGGTCCTGGGGTTTTCCATAATAATATATGAATGTGAATATAATTAATTCCACTGAATTTTACTTACAAATGGTTACAATAGCACATTTCAATAACACAGTTTAAAAAACTATATTAAAAACTATTATGAACTTTAAATGAGTAGATTTTATAGTGTGACTTATTTCAATAAAGCTGTGTTAAAATGTAATGTTTTAATAATATTTTCTAATGATCAGTACAAAAATACTTTAGTTTACTTTGCTGAATAAAAATTACTTAGCATTTTAATGGTAACAAAGAAGTTGAATTTCTTTCATTACTTTAAAAACATTTTTTGAAAAAATTTCAAACTTACAGAGCTGTAAACTGCAAGGATTGTCCAGTGAACTCACATGCTCATTGCCTGGATTCACACTTTATTTTTTTTTATACTCTTTATTCCTAGCACTCAGAAGTGATGTGCTTTTTTGATATAGCTGTGTTTTTTGTTTCATTGTTCTGTTTTGGGTTTTGTCTTTTTTTAAATTCAGTGTACTATTACTTATTGGACCCTTTCAATTTGAATAATTTGTGTGTCTCATGTCATTTGTTCCAAGAACTTATTTAATTTCTATGATAGTTTTGTTTCTTCCATACTCTGTGGCTTATTTTTTTAGGAACCTCCTGTTAGATGGATGTTGGACCTCCTAGATTTTCTCATCTTTTCTATCCTGTTTTTCATCTGACTTTTTATTCACTGTACTGGAATATGTTATCATCTTTATCTTTCAATTCTGCCTTTTATATAATTACAAGCTGTCAAATTAAGAGTTCTCTCCTGTTCTTAATAGATCTTTTAAAATAAAAGTAACCTTTCTTTCATGGATGAAAATCTCTTTCTGAGGATATAATTTGTTGACGTTTTCATTTCTTTCTACTTCTATTGTCTCTGTTTCTCCTGAGTTCCTGTTCTTCTGTTTGTTCATTTGGTTTATTTTGTTCATGCTGAAGATGTTCTTGAAATGGCTGTGATTCTAGGATCTGCTCATGGTTACAAGAGAAGTACTAAAAACTGGGTCAGAAGCCTTCCTTGCTGCCTGGAAGGCTTTGCTGTAAGATGACGAGTGGCAAGCTCTCCACACAGCTGCCCGCGGTTTAGGAACTGCAGGGGAAGAAGGCTGAGGGCTCATTCAGAATATAGATTTCCACCTGCATTTTCCTCTCAGCTGTGCCTGTGTTTCCATGTCTGGAGCTTCCGTTTCCTCAGAGAATAAACCTCCTTGGTGAGTGGGGGTGGGGAAAAGAGTAGAGTTCTAGTTGAGTGGTAGGTGAAGGAAAAGCTTGTGAATCCGGGTCTCTCAATGCTCCTTATATTCATTGTGTCTTTTGTGTGTGTTGTTTTTCCAATTGAAACTTTTTTTTTTAATATATTTTATTGATATTTCACAGAGAGGAGGAAGGGAGAGAGATAGAGAGCTAGAAACGTTGATGAGAGAGAAACATTGACCAGCTGCCTCTTGCACACCCCCTACCGGGGATGTGCCCGCAACCAATGTACATGCCCTTGACCGGAATCGAACCTGGGACCTTTCAGTCCGCAGACCGATGCTCTACCACCGAACCAAACCGGCTTCGGCTCCAATTGAAACTTTTTAAAAAATCGTATTTTATTTTTCAGTTACTCCTTCTGTGTTTTTTAACCAATCCTCCTATTTTCAATCCTATCCCTCCTCTTACCCTCACAACATACCCACTGAGCTTAACTCCTGAGCCTTTGTGGGGTTCAACACTTTGACTTTGACCTTGTTGGCTTCCCCCTTTGTAGGTCCTTAGGTTTTAGTTCTCACTCTCCTACTCTGTTGCCTCTTCTCTGGCCCCTTTGAGAAACATGTTAATATTGCTCATCAGCAGCTCTCCTTTCTCCTGTCTCATTGTCATTGTAGATTATTATGTTATATTTATTAACTGTCATTTCAGGGGATTTGATAGAGATAAGTGCATGGGTTTAATCTGCCATGCTTGGCTAGAAATCTCTCCTCAGCTGCAACAATTCTCTGCCTGTTTTTAATAGTATCAGAGCCAAACTGAGTTACAGAGAGTCAGTATGAATTTTGAGGAAGGGGAGATTTTGAACAATTGCTTAGCTCTTGGATTGGTCATGGTAGAAGCCACCGAACCTCCCATGTTCGGGCTTATTGATGATGTTGGGAAAGAGATCAGCCCCGTTGTTAGTAGATCCTTCTCTGACCCTCATTAATCTGTTCTCTTGCAGAAGTGGGGTAGTGTGAGCAACCCACTCTTCCTCCCACTAATCCCACCACAATCTCAAGGTTTTACCGCCATCGTCCTCACCTACGACCGAGTGGAGAGTCTCTTCCGGGTCATCACAGAAGTGTCTAAGGTGCCCAGTCTATCCAAACTGCTAGTGGTCTGGAATAATCAGAATAAAAGTCCTCCAGAAGGTAAGAAGTGTGGGGAGGTCACGTGTTCAGGAAAGGCCTGGTGGTTTGGGTGTTAGTACAACTTTCAGCTGGATCCGTTATAGCTAGCCAAGTTAATGGCCTCTTTTGTTTTAAATGAATTTTTCCACTTTGTCAGCAATAATGCCACTTCTGAGACAGCTTGACCCCAGTTTTATCAATCATTTCATTCTTGGTCTAGAATGGCCCATTTAACTCCCAGCCCATGGCTTGTTCTGTAGCCACAAGTGATGGGGCTTAGGAATCAGTAGGATCAAAGCCCACCAGCCTTGGGAAAACAGATCTCAGCTTCCCTCAGGCCTCTCAGCTGATTTGTTTACATGAAAACTCAGTTTAAAAGGCATTTGTTTTCTCCTTCCTTATCTCGGCTCTGATACTGTGCTCATCAAGAAAAAAGGATGGCCTCACCTCTGTTGGGGAAAGTCAGCAAAGCATGCCCTCCCAGACTGCGAAGCAGTTCCTTACGTGAGCACTCGCTGGAGTTCCCATTGGTTCACCCTTAATCACTTTGTTCCTTGCCTTGGCCAACCTTGCAATGTGCTGGCTGGCAGCTAAGGTCCAGACTATTTGATTAATTGGATTTGTTTTTAATTCAGAATGCATCGAGTATGTTCTACCTCCATTTAGTTTCTCATTCAGTCCGTCTATTACTGATCCTAATCCCAGGGACTTCAAAGCTCCTGCCCTTTATTGCCTATTAAAGCCAGGAAGTTTCTGATGGCTTAGAGTGCGGAATCAGTTTGAAGTTTGTAATGTGCACCACTATCACCGATAAGGTCCAGTTTATTGCCTGACAGTAGTCTCTGCACTTTTTATGGCTAGTCCCTTTTAATTGGTTATACTGAAGTCGGGACAGTCAACTCTGGAAACTCCCGGTAGTCCATGTGTAGTCTAGGCTGGAAGAAGACCATGCTTCTGTCTGTTAGGCAAATCAGAAATTGCTTCATGGAAATTCTTTAGTTGCTTCTAAAACACTTAAAACATTTCACTCTGGTATTTTTGTTCTCTGAGAGAATCATTACTTTCTCTTTAGATTTAGGGAGCCAAGGTGTGTGTGAGTTAACAAAGTAGCATTTTAAATGAAGGTCCTGCATTTTGTCGTGAAGCACGCTACTTAAAAAAAAAACCAAACAAACAAAAACCGCATGTTTTTAATGTCTTTAGAGAGGAAGGTAGAGGGAGGGAGAGATAGAAACATCAATGATGAGAATCATTGATTGGCTGCCTCCTGTAAGGCTCCTACGGTGATGGAGCCCACAACCTGGGCATGTACCCTGACAGGGAATCAAGCCTGACCTCCTGATTCATAGGTAGATGCTCAACCACTGAGCAACACTGGCTGGGCACACACACTATTTTAAAAAAATTTTATTAACTGTATTTTTATGTCAATTTTTTTTCTCTCCTCAGCTTCTAATTTTGTTTTATTTGATGTCAATAAAGGGGGGGAAAGAGGTAGAATAAAAAGGGAGGTGTTGGAAGGAGGTCAAGTAAGGAGGGAGGAAGAGACTGACCAGCAGGAACAGGTAGAGAAGACAAAAAAGGAGTTACAAGGGAGGGGCATGGGAGGACCTCTAACCAGCTGCCTTGGATTCATCAGTACAGTTGTTCCCTTTCCCCCAAGGAGAAGTGGATTGGGTGGTGCTATATTGCTAATTACTCTCTTCATTGATAAAGGATGGGCCATGTTTTTGTTTTTCAAATATATCTTTATTGATTTCAGAGAGGAAAGGAGAGGGAGAGAGAGGTAGAAACATCAAAGATGAGAGAGAATTTTGCTCGGCTGCCTGCTATACATCCCCCATTGGGGACTGAGCCCACAACCTGGGCATGTGCCCCTGACGGGAATCGATGCTTTGTCCACTGAGCCAAACCAGCCAGGGCAGGCTGGGCCATGTTTTAAGAAGGAGGGCTGTGTAGGCCTCCGGCTCTAGAAAGCTGGTGGTGTCATTCACCATCAGCTCATGCACTTGCTCCTGCTCACAAAGGCCACCAGCTCTCAGAGAGCCTCGCAGCCCTGCTCCCTGCCCAGAGGCAGAGTTGCAAAGTCTGGTGCTAAATGTAAAAGGGACTTCTCCTTGGAAAGCGTGGTTAGCCACTTGTTTATTGTGAATCTGAGTCCCTTCTTTTGGGCAAGTATCCATTGCAAATTGCGAAAGGAGGATCTTTTTCTTTCTTCTTGGTCCAAGCCCCCATGTTGACATAGATAAATGCAATAACACGAAGCTAGGTTTGGGAGCAGGGTGTTCAGTTTGAGTTTTGGTAGACCCTACTAGAATGCACAGGTTAATTTTATGACCAAGAGTTTAGTTTATTTTTGAAATATTTTGACTGATGAGGCCCTAATTTTGACACGTTTAGAGACTGGACCAGCCTTTTTCTAACAGTGGTTTTTAGGTCAGGCCTCTGGCTCGGTCAGTGTGGTTGTTTGGGGAGAGCATGAACCATGTTTAATCTTCTGGGGTGGGGGACGTGTTTGTTCAGTTGGCAAATGGGGCTGTCTGCTCTAACTCTCGAGCCAGCAAAGTCATCTTGATTTTTTTATGTATAGCATTAGTAATATATATGTATTTTAAAAAACAAATCCACAGCTTTGAAATATTAGAGGCAGGAGTGATGTTTTTCACTTTCTCTACATTTACTAAGATAAATATTGTGGTTAACATGTCTGCTGCTGGGAGGATTAGTGTAGTCAGAAACATCCCCCCCCCCCTTTTTTTTTTTCACTTTCCAATCCAACCAAATATCTTTTTCTTTTTGGTTACATCTAAGTCTAAATTGCTTGGTTTGAAGTTTAAATAAATACTTAGACAAGCAACAGAAATTTCCAGGGAGCTTTCGTCACATTGGTTTTGAGCCTTGTCAGAAAAGGCAGCCCCTGCCTCCTGCTCCCCAACTCTTCAGCTCCCCACTTGACGGATACAGGAGTGATTTGGCTTGGCCCTTGGCCTCAGTTGGAAGAAAGCCGTTCCATTGTCCATTTCAGTCAAGTTGACCTCAGCCTTCTTTTTTAACTGATGTCAGTTTAAAATTTGAATCGATCTCAAGAGCTCCCAGCTTTTTCACCTTGCATCTTCCATAGTTCTTAGCAGGCAGGACCGGATTGGCTGCGCCTGTCAGGATGGTCAGCTCAGAGGAGGCAACAGGGAAGTGAGAGTAGCAGCTCCCTTCCTTTAGAGCTACATACTGCAACTGTGGGTTTTAGGATCCGGGGGACCAGGTGGACACCAAGCAGCTGAGCCCTCTTGAAGTGATCTCCAGGTTGGCATGGAGATAGTCTCCTCGTTCACTTATCGATCTGTGGTTGTGTTTATGACAGTGACCGCCAGGATGGGACTGCGGTCATCCTCAGTGAGCCTGAACAGTTGGTGGTGCCTTTGCCACGTTGAAGGAAAATTCTCTTTGCTCACATGGCATCCAACCTGGAGAAAACCGTTAATCAAGACACATTTTTTAAAAGTCCTTAACACAAGGAGGTTTCTTCTTCTTCTTTGAGCTATACTAAAGCTCATAACTGTGAAGTTACCGGGTCAGTTGGCTCAGCTGTGTGTTTTTCATAAATTTAGTGTGTGTGAAAATCCTACTTTTCAGACTTCTTTGTTGGTGAATGGAAGGGGACATTTTTATTTTATCAGCTACAGAGCCACAGGATGAGACACGGGATACAGGGCCAACTGTTCCATTTAGAATTTAAAGGTGTAAGGAAAAATGCCCCATCTGGGCTAAGTGATGGAATTAGGGCCTGAATACTTCTGGCCGTGACACTGTTTCCTTCTGCATCCTAAGAGGTCACCACATGTCCTCTGTTTACACCTCTTCAGGTTGTCGGTAGAGAAGTGAAGTTCATAAGACTGTATAAAGAATCCATTTGTGAAGACTGTGATACGATGTTATTATAACCATGCATTGTAGACCTTTTACATCCCAGGAACAGGAACTGTGCTAAGTGCTTTACATATATTATCTCTTGTCCTATGAGAAAGCTGTTGTTATCCCCACTTTGCAAGGATGAAATTCAGATTAATTGAGTAATTTGCCTGAGCCACAACACTGCAAATTGTGGAGTCAGAAATAAACACAGGCCTCTCTGGATCTTAAAGCTCATGCCCTTTGCACTAAGCCCCACGGGGTCTATTTAGATCACCCGTTATCAGTAGGAACATCATTATGTCTTGTCAATTCTCCGATTTGGGATTATGTAAAAGAACTAGGTCCTTGTCGGGAACTCAAACAGAAAAGGACAATCAAACTTCATTTCTCCAATGGCATCCATCATGAACGATTTAGTTCTCAACCAAGATGTTCACTGAAAAAATGTCTCGGTGGTCGAACCAAACTTCGATTTTCAAGCTGATGCCTCAGCATGACAAAAAGTGTCTGAGAGCCATTTGGGAGGCAATGATATATGAACAAGCAAAAAGGCTGCATTCTGACCTGAAAGACATCCCTGAATCGAGTGCTGAAAGTGATTCATTTAAGGCTGGGAGGGGGTAGTTTGATAAATTTAAGAAAAGAAGTGTTTGCTTATAGGTTAAACAGTACATTAGGCATGTAATGTATATAAGAAAGGTTAAAACAGGGAATTCTTTAGGGGTCTGGAATAAATGAATGAATTCAATTTACATTATATCTAATGGGGAAAAATAACTCAGTTTTTTAACATTAGCTTTTTTTTTTTAAGCTGTTACTCTTTTTAAAAAAAAATATATTTTATTGAATTTTTACAGAGAGGAAGAGAGAGGGATAGAGAGTTAGAAACATCGATAAGAGAGAATCATCGATCAGCTGCCTCTTGCACACTCCCTACTTGGGATGTGCCCGCAACCAAGGTACATGCCCTTGACTGGAATCAAACCTGAACCTTTCAGTCCGCAGGTCAAAGCTCTATCCACTGAGCCAAACCGGTTTTGGCAACATTAGCTTCTTGAGCAGCCCTCAGGAACAAAGTAAGTTCGAGAACCAAGGTTCCACTGTAAACCTATTCTTTTGAAAATACCAGTGGAAGGAAAAAAGAAACAAACTTTACCATCAATTTTTTTTCTTTCCTACCTCATACTTTTGTCCTGATTTTATAAACAGAATCAAAATCCCTTATTGCTGAAGGCATTTAATTCCACCTTAAAACTGTTTACGCCATCAGAAAGTTCTTAACTACTTTGAGTCTAAATCAATTTTCCTGTAACTTTCCCCCAGCTGTTTGGTCATGGTTCTAACCTTAGCGGCCATAGAGAACAATTCCCTCTCATCTGATAAGACCTGGTGGATAGCCAAGGTCCAGGGAGGAGACAAGTTTTAAACTTGAACAGGAAAAGTTTAATGTAAAGAACTGTTAACTAGTAACAGGACATTAGTGACTAAGGGGTAAAAAGAGCTCTAGAAATAACAAAAAGTAAGTTTGGGAGCGTCCCTTCTCCAGCTAGGTCTGAGATTCAGACCATGCAGCTCACTGCATGTGAGGTTTGCTGAGGTGTGCCACACAGCTCTGGCCAGCAAGCAACTAACTGTTTCCTTGGATACCCTTGGTGCTCAACTGACGGTTAGCTACCCAGGGGGTGTTACTGACCTTGCTAGGAAACTGGTGAAGGCTTCAGTGCAGCTCACTGGGAACCACGTGGGCAGAACCTCAGCTGAGTGCTCTTGGAAGTATCTGTAGAACTTTCTGGGAAGCTGCCTCCAGAGGTGCTGTTGAACTCACTGGGAAGCTGGTTGGAGTGTCTGCAGAACCTTCTGGGAGCTGCCTCTGGGGGGCAGGGCAATTAAACTTGCTGGCATAAATGCTCCTGCCTGCCTCTCCGCTGGCCAAGTACCGAAGGAGCAAGAAGTAACAAAGCACCCAGACCCAGGAAGAAAAGCCAGGTTCCTCCTGCAGTGTCCCTCCAGCACCCTCTACTGACAGAGCTTCTTCACACGTTGCCAGCTGGCAAAGGGAACTGTTTGCAGGACCCAGTTCCAGCATCGCAGTCAGGGCAGTGAAGGGTGAAACTGAAGCTGAGAGGCAATACATTGACCAATGGCACGTTTTGTATTCAAAAGCTAGATCGTCCCACAGTCACATGATGAACTTTTGGGAAGCAGTTTAACACCTAGCTTTCCCATTCTAATTTAACAAATGTGTGAAGAAGAAACTGCCCACGTGTAAAGACCCCTGAGGTGTGTAGAGATGGATACTATACCAAAGAAGGATTGATTTCATGCTGCGCTAAACGCAGCATTTTAAAATAAGGAACCTGCGGTTGAATTCCTTCTTTCATTTCTAAATGGAATGGGGAAAATGTAAGGCAAGTCATGGGTTGGTGTTTCTTCACTGTACTAGAAAATCCCACATAATTGAACCTAGACATTTGATATTTACTCTGTAAATTGGACATGATGAGAAACCAAAAACAGTAAATCATAGAGAAGGGCTGTCGAGGGCTAAAGTGCTAAGTTAAGGAAGATAAACCCGTTCAATTTTCACAGCCTTGATGGCTGTTTGTGGTTGCATTTTGGAGGTGGGCACATTGGAGCAGACATCTTGAGCACATGCATTGTGTTTTCTAACAGAGACACAGGCAAGCTTTAAGCTGGGGTGGACCTATCTGAATGGACTTTGCAAAGGTGGTAGGGTTCTGGTGTTAAAACAGTGGGCCTGAGAAAGTCAATCCAGACACAATTTCTCTTACCATTGTGATTTTGGTCATTTGGCTTCCCTTTCTCAGCTATGAGAAGAAGCCAGTTTGTGCATTCTGGTGGAGACAGCGATAAGAACTAGTAATGTTTAGGGTCTTAGGATAGACATAAATATACACTGAGTGGCCAGATTATTATGATCTCTGAGTGCATAATAATCTGGCCACTCAGTATATTTATATTAAGGCCCAGTGCATGAATTTGTACATGGGTGGGTCCGGCCAGCCTGACCAGGGGGAGGGGACATGGGTGGTTGGCCGGCCTGCCTGCTGGACAAACTCCTGGTCGAGAGGACAGTTTGCATATTAGCCTTTTATTATATAGGATATACACAGAGATCATAATAATCTGGTCACTCGGTGTGTGTGCACGCATGTGTGTGCGTGCATGTGTGTATGTGTGTGTATGTTTGAATGTGTGTATGAGCCTAAGCTACTGTCCGGCTGGTAGCTATGATGTGCATTACCACCAGGGGGCTGCGGTGACTTGGCAGTTGTGGTTCTCTGGTGATGAACCTGGAACCAGAGAGGAGGAAGCCCAATTCCAGGGTACATCACCAGAGAACCACCCTCTTGCAACCTAGGACCCCTTGGGGGATATTGGAGAGCTGGTTTTGGCCTGATCCCCACAGGCCAAGCTGAGGAACCCCACTGGTGCACGAATACATGCACCAGGCCTCTAGTATGAAATATTATAAAATTGCATTTGTAAGAACTGCCTTTGCACACTGTGTATGGATTTGATTCTTCCACCTCATCTGTGATATGCTGCTGTCACCACTTTATTGAAGATAAATACCTTGCATTTTCTTTTTCCAGAGTCCCTCTGGCCCAAAATCCGGGTTCCATTAAAGGTTGTGAGGACGGCTGAAAACAAGCTGAGTAACCGTTTCTTCCCGTATGATGAAATCGAGACAGAGGCTGTCCTGGCTATTGATGATGACATCATTATGCTGACCTCTGATGAGCTGCAGTTTGGTTATGAGGTAAGGCGATTTTAAGCAGTATATTTACATATTTAATATTTATTGCCTATTATTGCTTACTTTTCCTAATAAAGATTATTACATTTTATTCTCCAAAGTCATGATTTTTAAGTTCAAATAGAGTCCAACACTGTGCATGGGGTTTTGAAGCTATTCTTTAAAACTTTGGGGTAACCCTATTCCAAAATGACAACTGCCCCTCTGCTAGTCTTGGGAACTCCCAAGGAGAGTCCCAGGGTCATTTTCAAAAGAACATCTACAGCATTTAACAAGCCCTTAATTGATGTCTCCTTTTGAGTAGCGCTCCCCTGACTCGAGCAGCTGGGCGCTGCAACAATAAAAACATCAGTAAGTGAAGAAGCTGGCGACACTGACAAACAGAAAGCAGACCCTGTTGATGGCTTTCTTTCTGAGTTTTAAGTGGGGAGGCTGGCTGCTGTCTGTAGGGAGAAACATTCTCTATCACTGTTCATTCGATGCGGCTGATGGATTAGGCAGGGTTCAAGGGTTAAGTATGGAGACCAGTAAAGGTCTCCCCAGGGGAAAGTGCCCTGAGCTGAGGCCTGGTGAAAAGCAATAGGAATTGATGAGTTCTGTCGGGGGAGGATGTGCGCGAGATGCACGATGGCGACAGGAGGGGCCCGTGGCTGCAGGGGCTGATGGTGGTGTCAGACCCAAGCCAAACAGAGGGTACAAATCCATTAGCTACAGCTGGCCTGGGCGAAGGTGGTGACATTGATCCCCTGGAGTCATCCAGCCTTTGGGGGAGAGGGAGCCATATTCCTTAGTTGTCTTGAGATTTGTTGAATTTGAGACTCGAAGAAATCATGAAGTTTAATTAAATGAAGCCATATTTGGTATGGGTATTTATTACAGAAATTTATTTAAGTAAATTTCTTAAGTAAAAAGTGAATTTTAAGGGGAAGAAATAGGAATCCCTCTATCACCACCACCACCACCACCAAAAATTCAAAGCTCAAGTTTTCCCTGGTTGTTTTTAAAAAACATGTATATCTGTAACTCCATTTGAGTGTAAAAGCAATTGTTGTGAAATAGGTGTGAGATACCCTGGTCACAATGGGCCTGTAGTTATTGGCAAGTGAAAGGCTTGAGAGTAGCTAATCATACATACATTCATCTTTGTGGACTTACTTAAATTCATAGAGATATCTTTTACATCATCACACTTAGGGTATTGGATGATTTTCAGTAAATCTCCTTCTCATTTTTTTTTTAAAAAGCAAATCAGCGGTACTTGTTTCTCTAGCCAACTCAGGGCAAAATACCAATTGTTTCTGCAGGTTTTCTCTCTTCATTGTCTATATGGCTTCAAATTATACCCATGTATCTGTTTTTGTGAGAAAGGGAACATTCAAAGTGATGTAGCCAAGATGGACATATTCTTGTGGAGTCTCAGCCACAGCATTCCAAGCAGGGGTGAGGCTGCGATACAGTAACTAATAACTAGCACTGGCTGCCCCTACTGTAAAAGATAAGAGATGTAAGAGGAATGATGGGGGAAGGGCTACCTGGACTGTTAGTCTGGAAATGATAGTGAGCCCTAGAATCCTTTCCAGGAAGTTCTTAGAACCACAACAGTGCTTTCCCAGCCATTGTCAAAACATAAACAAACAGGTGATGTTAATGCTGTGCATTACAGCACATAGACAGGCTCTGCATTAGATGGGGCCTGCCCTCAGGCCTCCCTGCTGATCTGGCCAAAAGGATCAGAATCTTAGCATGCCTGTTAAGCATCCAAAAGTCAGAACATAAAGGGAACTAGCGATATCCTGCCATTTCATTGCTGAGGAAACAGGTTCAAAGAAGTTAAATCCCTTCTTTTAATCCTTACCAGGGGATATTATATAATACTAGAGGCCTGGTGCACAAAATTTGTGCATTTAAGGGTAGGGGGTCATCCCTCAGACTGGGCTGCACCCTCTTGCAGTCTCGGAGCCCTCAGGGGATGTCTGACTGATGGCTTAGGCCTGCTCCCCACTGCCATGGAGGCAGGAGAGGCTCCTGCCACTGCTGCTGTGTTTGTTAGCCGTGAACCCAGCTTTAGGCTGAGCAGCGCTCCCCTTGTCAGAATGCACTGACCACCGAGGGCTACTCCTGCATTGAGGGTCAGCCTCCTGGTGGTCAGTGTGTGTCATAGTGACCAGTTGTTCCACTGTTCAGTCAATTTGCATATTACCCTTTTATTATATAGGATTTTTTCCATTGACTCTATAGAGGGAGGAAGGGGGGGAGAAAAGAGAGAGAGGGGGGATTAGAGAGAGAGAGAGAGAGAGAGAGAGAATGACAGAGAGACAGAGACATCGACATTGATTGGTTGGTTGTCTTCTGCCTAAGCCCTGATCAGGGATCAAACTGGTAATCTGGGTTTGTGCCTGACCTGGAATTGGTGCATGGGACAGCACTCAACCAACTGAGCCACACCAGCCAGGGTTAAATTCCTTCTTTAAAGTGTTAAATGTTCACTTAATATAGCCATTTATACCACAGCAGGTTTTTGAGAATGAAAGGCCAGTCCATGTAGGAAAGGCCTTTTTTCTTCCACTGTCTATGATTTGAGCACACAGACATTAGGATCAGAGACCTAATGCTGTGTATCATTATTTATTTTATTGGAAGAAAACACAGGGGTCATCGCCTGTTTAAATGGGTCATATTCCCTGTTGGAAGGCAAAAAGCTTTGGGAAATGTTACATTCCCTCTCCAGCCCCAAAATCAGGAGCTAAGAATGATCTTCTCTGGCCCTGCGTGCTTCTGACTTGTTTGACAAGCTCTAGCGAGCTGCCAGATGTTGAAATTCTTTTCAGCCTGGAATAATTTATTTATCTGTTTATGTGTTTTACCAGGAAAGTATCTATTGAGTTCTTGATACTCATTTGCAAGGAACTCCTGGGGGAACAGTAGCAGTGTATAGTGTTACTCCAATGTTTGATTTTTTTTTCCCCCCCTCCAAGTCTGCCTGCTTTTATTTCAGACCTAAAGAGTGGGGAAATAAAATGCAACTTTTCCTCTTCCCTTCCCCCGCCTTTTAAAGAGACCATTTAAAACATGTGGCAGAAAATGAGCCATGCAGACTTGGCTGCATGTATGAACCCGTGAATTTATTTTTCCTTTCATACTTTGATCCTCATTTCCAACCATAAAAATTATTAGTAGCACTTAAGTGTTGAACATTTTTCACCTGAGAGATGTGAAACAGTCTTGGCTAGTAATACTGGCTGTAAAGTCAGTTCTTCACGTGGTAAATGGACTTCACTAAGAGCCAACTGTATGTTGTTAGGTGTACACAGTGCCCGACATTTTACTTCCTTTTTCTGCCTGGGTATTCCATGGGCTATAGAGGCTGGTTAAACTTCTTGGGTGCTAATAAATTTTGAGAATGTATTTGTATTATTTTGTTCACGACTGCCCACGGTAATAGCAAGTACATACTCTCAAAGAATTATGGGAAGACAGCAAAGTAGCTTGGCATGCCCCACTTTTTTTTTCTTTTTTTCTCGTGAGAACATAAAACCGTCTTTGACCTCTTGGCTGACTTGGGTCCTTGATCCTCCACAGAATCTGACCTGATGGGTGACTGGAAAGATGGAGATTCAAGTATTTTCTTATCTGGCCAATGGACTGTAGCAGGAGTACCCAGTGGGGCCAGTCCAGCATGTGTCACTGGAGAGCTGCGGGCGCTGAGAGCTGGGTCCGTTTGGGGCACACTCAGGGTCAGACCTTGCTGACCTTGATCTGAATCAGCATTTTCCGGGTCTGACACTAAAGCTTTACAATATAGTTAGAACCACTGAGCCCAAGGTGCACTCTTTGAAAACTCTACCTTTCTTAGGATTTGTGGTGCCCCCTCTTCACTAAGTATCTGAAGAAGCTGATGACTGTGAGCTCTCTTGGAGCCTGAATGTGACACATGAGTGACGGTCCCCCTCTGAGTACCTTTGCTGGGCCTGGGCATAATATCAGTGCAATAATAAATATCGAAAAGGACATCTGTCTGTCTTTACTTCATTTTTCACTTTTCTTACTTACCTGAAGAGTTGCCCTTAGCAGAGATTGTCATCTTTGGAAGAGGGAATGGGCCAAATAGCTCATGTCTGTGAGTGACCCTGCCCCCTGCCCGTAGTGTATACTCAGCTTCCCTCAGAGGAGCCTGGAGGGCTGGGGCAGAGGTGAGTCGTCCTTCCTCAGAGACCCTCTCCCTGCGTACTCTTCATGTTGCTTCAGGCTCCCTGTTTCCAGCCTGTGGGGGAACTGAATAATCTGTTTGGTCTGTCCTACGTCCAGCTTGCTTTGATTTACACCCCCAGGCCCAGGGGAGCTGGCGGGAGAATAGCTGGTGTGTGTGGTTGCTGCAGTGAGAACTGCTGAAAGAAGAGCCAGGGCCGCGGCCAGGAGCCCACGGAGGTGCTGAGAGAGGCTGCGGGAGGCTGACCTCGCAGAGCTTTTCTGACGCACCCAGTCCCCATCGGAGAATAAGTCAAACAAATATTAAGGGAAGGAAATCGAATATGTATGCTGAGCCGTGAAATAACATCTGAGCGGTTAAAAGCACCCAGTTGGGAATGACAATGGAGTGACACTTTTTTCTTCCCCGCTGAGCACATTAAAAGGAACAAGCTCCGAATTTGTTTACGTAGCCATGAACGAAGCATCAAATGTGGGGCAAGTGGCTCCCGCTCCCCAAGTGAAGGGAGCATGTTTCTTGCTGGCACAACCTTCCATAAAGGGGTGTCTCCTCAGACTCCCATGCAGAGCAAGTCCAGGGAGCTGGTGTCAGTGTGTTTTGTAGGTGCCTACTTTGTGCCGGCATTGCTGGTGAGGAGAGAGCTCTCCTGACTTTGCCACTCCAACCCCTTGTGCCCTTTCCTGCCTTGGTGCCGTCAGGGCCACCTGGCTTTATAGTTTGGTGCTTATAACGTGGGGTGATTCCTTTAAAGAGGTGTTGGTACAGTTGATGGTTTAAAGAACGCACGCTTTCCCTC